CCGAGGCTAGCTGGCGGGGAGCGAGCGGGGCCGGACAGGGGAGCACGAGGCCCCGCTGCCTCCCGAGCCCGCCCGCGGCAGAGGCTCGGAGACAATGGCCTCGCGGGCGGCGGGCCGGGCGGAGCGCGGGGCGGTCCGTGGCGCCCTCTCCACACCTGTGCGGCGTCCTGGGGCAGTGGGACGCGGGCACCCGGCCCAGCGGGCGGTGCGCGGCACCCTCGAGGCGAGTCCCCGCGCCAGGCCCCCAGGTGGGGCGGTCTTGGGGCGGGAACGCGGGTCCGGAGCCCGGCCTCCGGGCGCGCGGAAACCCCTGCAGCAGCGGGAGGAAGGGGCACGGGGATGGAGGGGCCAACGTCAGGCCGCTTTCCTTTCTGTCCTTCCGTAATAAGAAAGGCACAGCGTTTCCCTTTTACGAGATTTCTTCTGTTCTACTATATTTCGATCATCCTTTTCCTGGCATCTCGATGCGACTTGGAAAGGAGACGGAGCTAGGGAAAAAAGTTCAATTAGGGCCGAGCCGAGACGGCCAATGTCCTGCCTCGATTGAGATGACCCTTCGGACACTTGGTTTGCCAAGTGTGGGATCTCTCCAGGACCGCCAGCTTGGGGCGGATTGCGGAGATTGTGTGAATGGGGTAGCAAATCACTATTTCTTCTCGAAAGGAACCATATGGGGGCCTCATTTCAGTTTCTGAGCTACCCTGAATGTAAATTGACCATCATGTAAATCACGAAGTAGCCTATCCACATTTTGCATTTGTGGCTTAGTGTGCTGAACTTAGTCTAGTTTTGGAGTCCATTCGGTGCTAACCAGTTATTATAATGACAGGAGTATTTAGCATTGATTATCTGATGTAATATGCAAAATTGAAAATACGTTTGTTTCATGTTTATTGCAGCCATGGCTCTGAAAGGACAAGAAGATTATATTTACCTTTTCAAGGATTCAGCTCATCCAGTGGATTTTCTGGATGCATTCAGAACATTTTACTTGGATGGATTATTTACTGATATTACCCTTCAGTGTCCTTCAGGCATAATCTTCCATTGTCACCGAGTTGTTTTAGCTGCTTGCAGCAATTATTTTAAGGCAATGTTCACAGCTGACATGAAAGAAAAATTTAAAAATAAAATAAAAATCTCTGGCATCCACCATGATATTTTGGAAGGCCTTGTAAATTATGCATACACTTCCCAAATTGAAATAACTAAAAGAAATGTTCAAAGCCTGCTTGAAGCAGCAGATCTGCTACAGTTCCTTTCAGTAAAGAAAGCTTGTGAGCAGTTTTTGGTAAGGCACCTGGATATTGATAATTGTATTGGAATGCACTCGTTTGCAGAATTTCATGTGTGTCCAGAACTAGAGAAGGAATCTCGAAGAATTCTGTGCTCAAGGTTTAAGGAAGTGTGGCAACAAGAAGAATTTCTGGAAATCAGTCTTGAAAAATTTCTCTTTATCTTGTCCAGAAAGAATCTCAGTGTTTGGAAAGAAGAAGCTATTATAGAGCCAGTTATTAAGTGGACTGCTCACGATGTAGAAAATCGAATTGAATGCCTATATAATCTACTAAGCTATGTCAACATAGATATAGATCCAGTGTATTTAAAAACAGCCTTAGGTCTTCAAAGAAGCTGCCTATTAACAGAAAATAAGATACGATCTCTAATATACAATGCTTTGAATCCCATGCATAAAGAGATTTCCCAGAGGTCCACAGCTACGATGTATATCATTGGAGGCTATTACTGGCATCCTTTATCAGAGGTTCACATATGGGATCCTTTGACAAATGTTTGGATCCAAGGAGCAGAAATACCGGATTATACTAGGGAGAGCTATGGTGTTACATGTTTGGGACCCAACATTTATGTAACTGGGGGTTACAGGACAGATAACATAGAGGCTCTTGACACAGTGTGGATATATAACAGTGAAAGTGATGAATGGACAGAAGGTTTGCCAATGCTCAATGCCAGGTACTACCACTGCGCAGTCACCTTGGGTGGCTGTGTCTATGCTTTAGGTGGTTACAGGAAAGGGGCTCCAGCAGAAGAGGCCGAGTTCTATGATCCATTAAAGGAGAAGTGGATTCCTATTGCAAATATGATTAAAGGTAAGTGCAGATTATGTTTATTCTATATTTTTCAGATGTTTGAGGTTAGGCCAAGGATCTCACTTCTCTTGCAATAACTTTAAAAAAGGAATTATCACTTTGGAATGCTACCCAGGAACTACAGTGGACTATACAAATAATGTACAGAATGTTCTAAGTAAAAATACAGTATAGCAGTCTCCAACTTGATTGAGTTATGTGATTAGTGTAAGCTGCTCAGGCTAGCAAAGAAATATTATTGCTCTAAGAAAACAGTATAATTCATTCTACTTACTCTACAACCTGTTTTGAATCTACATCTTGCTTTGAGTCCTAAGAATTTATATTTAAATCAAAGGCTAAATGAAGAGAGAAAGCTGGGTAGCTTTATTCATGTAATTTTTCATTTTTGGCTTACTCTTGAAATTGAACCTTTTTGATTCTGCTTTTATACATTCAGCTTTTTTATCCTCCCACTATCTGATCATCTCTTTTAAAAGGTCTTTCAGTAAAACCTTAAAAGGTTTGGTCTCTGTAGGGTGTAACAAATTACATTTTCTCAAAAACTAGAGATACACAGCCTCTGCTCTTTGTGATTCGAGTCTTGTCTCCGGTAAAGGAGAGGGGGAGAACCCCTCTCCCCATGTAGCCCACACAGGCATACACACGGTTGGATCTCAGTATCTATCTGATTAACACTATTTTCTGTGGGATTTGGTACCAGGTTAGCCTTGCTCTCCTTCCCTCCAACTGGAAAAAAAGTTAAACTGGAATCTCATTTATTTTACATTTATTCAATGGTACTGGGGAGTTGCACACAAACAACTGGTAGGTTGTTACCAAATTTGTGTCATTTTATCCCAAATGTTTCTTCCCAGGCCTTTCTGTTTCTTTTTAAATGCTAGTGAGGGTGTGGGAATCTGACCTGGTCTGGGAATCTGACCTGGTGTGATCCTTGGAGGAGAACAGGAAGCCTGAGAGGCAGCATGGTCTTGTGATCAGGCACACTGCTGCTTCTGAAGCCAAACTTCTGGGTCCAAATCCCCATTCTCCACTTACTTGCTGGTGAGCTTAGGCATGTGGTTTGATCTTCCTGTGCCCTAGTTTTGCCAGCTGTGCAATGGGGATGACAATATTACATAGCTTAGAGTCCTAGGAGTAATATTAAATGAATTTATGCATGTGAAGCGCTTAGAACAGTGCCTGGCACAGAGTAAGCACTCAGTAAGTGTTAGGCATTATGGTCATGAATGTCCTTATAGAAGAACATGTCAGCTTTGATAGGGCACAAATGTCTTTCATATTCTATTATGACCTCTCTCCTGCATGCCCGAAGCTTCAGCAGTAGTCGGTAGGGTGGGAGAAAGTGGCTTAGCGCCCGGTGCTGTTGTTGCTGTGGTTTTTGACTCTCCCTTAGCTCAGTCCCCTACTTATTAATTCCCGGTCCCTTCCCCAGGGTGGCTCTGAATGTCCTGACTCCTTTCCTACAAAGGAAACAAAGAAAGTTCAAATATTTCAGTAGCTATTAGAAACCTGGATGTATTTCTGCCTCTGTTTCTTAATGATAAGATCACAGTTTCAGTGGTTTTATAGTTTAGAGTATGTTTCTCTGAGGACTGAAATCCACATGTGTTCTTGTCTTAGCCTTGAATGGAAGGGAAGACTCTCGTAAGCTGAAGTCCTTCCCCATCTCCCAGCTGGGTCTGAAACTCCAGAGTTTTATTCTTTTAACTTGATGTTTTGATTTCTGATTGTATCTGATCATCCCAGGAAAGGGTAACACTTTTGTCAGTTATGTGCATTTTGGGCTAGTGCTGGTTCTGATGGGTGGTCTCATGCTGAACTTTGTTTCCCATTTTTCTGTAGAAACAATAACACTGTGTTCTCCAATTTGTTTTATTTTGTAGTTATGAAGTGAACTAGCAACTTTCCCTGGTAATGAGCACCTAAATTGGGTAGAGTCAAACTTCAAATTCATTTCCTTTTTTAGTTTAGGGATGTACAGAGAAGAAATAAATACTTGGCTGGGAACTCCTAACTCCCCCCTCCACCCATCATAACTGCCCTGCTAATGAGCCTACTTTTGTTTTGGAGTAGAGATGCCCTGGGAAATTAAACTGCACCTGGCATGTAATGGTGCTAAGTAAAAAGATAGTTGAAAGATTGAACTGGCATTTTCAACTAAAATGAGCCTCCTCATCTTTCTTCCTCGCTGCTTCTTTCCCTGCTAAACCCATTTCCTTCCTATTTTTCTGTGGTATCAGTGTTTTACAGTTTTCCGAGCTCAGGACCCCAGAATAAGTCTTCTTTGTCTTTGATGCAGTCGGTCATCAAGGCTTGTTTCTCCTGTGTCTCTTGCCTCCGTGCCCCCCGTGCCCTTCCCTCTGGACCCGAGGCCCCTTGTAAATCAGGCCCTCGGTACTTCCACCTGGGCCAGGACCTAGCTCTTTCCTACTCTTGGCCTTCTACTTCTGTAGTCTCATGAAAATCCTTAAACGTCCTGCTGAATTGAGTCCACATTTCTTAGTTGGGCATCAGGATCCTTTGCCACGTGGCTTCAATTTGCCACGTCAGCTTTCGTTCCCACACAACAGCCTCAGGTGTGCCACCTGCCCTGCCTGTGCACTGGCGTCAAACTGGGCTACTTGGCAGTGCCCAGTAAGCCTTAGTGCTTGCCTTTCCCTCTGCATAGGAGGCTCCCCTCTCCTCTACCTGCCAAAGAGCTTCCTTTGCCCAGGTCAAATTCTCCCACCTTCTGCCGTGATTCCCCTAGTCAAAGCAATGTCTCCTGGCTCTGTGTTCACAGGAGGTCTGTACCCTGTGTTCTCATTATTTGTGTAAATGTCTCACCCTCTTTTAAAAAAGTGCAGGGAGCCTTTTTATTTTATTCTTCTATCCTTCATAGCACCTGGCACAATGCCTTGCAGCTGCTATCAATAATAACAGAAGCAATGATAAACTTAGCCCGATACTCATTACACAACAGAATGAAAGACCAATCTGAAGATGTGATTTTAATTAACACACAGGCGTGGGAAATGCTACTGCCTGTGTCTTACATGAAGTTATCTACGTCATTGGTGGCCACTGCGGATACAGAGGAAGCTGCACCTATGACAGGGTCCAGAGCTACAATTCAGATATCAACGAATGGAGCCTCATCACCTCCAGTCCACATCCAGGTAACAAGATACTGTCTCAAATAGTACATGTTGTGATGCGGCATATCTGCATAAGAGATGGCTAAAAATGGGCTGGAAGTAGAAAGTGCCCAATTTATAGTAGACTACACATGGGTATAATTAAAAGGCTCAAAATATTAAAATGTCCACCTAACAGTAGTCACAATTAGCTTATTCCAATTAAGTAATGTCTACAGATACTTTCCTTGATGTGTTTACGTGACATGTATTTTGAGCCTGGGTGGTTAAAAGTGTTAGTTTCTTCTTAAATCTTTTTTACTTAGATTCTTTTTGTGTGTGTTTCTTATTTCTTTGTTTTGTGCTTTCTTTCATTTACTACATGCATTATATAAAACACAGTTTTTATCAACAGTTAAAAAAAGTCTATCAAATAGTTGGGAAGTATACATGTTGATTCAGTTCAGCAGGAGATGATTTCTTTCAGGAACGTGTTCTTTCTGGGTTTCAATAACTATTAAGCACTTACTCCTGTGATGTGCAGGGCTGGATGTTGGCCTTAATTTCAGTCATCAAGGGATCATGTTGTCTGCCCACAAGGAATGACCTGCCTTCTGTGGTGTCCTTTGTTCTTTGACTTGTCTCTTTGTGAAGAGCTCAGGGAGAAGCATTAGCCTGTTACAGGTATGCCGTATGGTTAAGATTTGTTCATTAGGAAAGATCCAGGTCAGTGTATCGCCATACTACTTTGAAGCATTTCCCATATAGCATCAGGCTTCTATGTGAGTTTCTGGAGAGCATAATTGAAATTCACAAGCTTGAACCATCTGAGAGTAATAGTAATAACTAACCTTCTTGAGCACTCTCCACGGGTCTGGAACTGATTAAGCACTTTGCATGTAATATTACCTTAAATCTAACTACAACCCTGTGCGTAAGTATCGTTTATCCGTGTTTTACATGTTTGAAAATGGAGGCTTAGAAAGGGTAACTTTGCCAGAGTCTCACAGTTTGGGAGTGGTGGATCAGGATTCCAAGGTAGGCAGTTTGGCTGTGTTAACCTGTGCTATAACCAGTAAGCAGTTTGCCTCTCTTTAAGGGTGTAGGCTCTCCTACTTTTGACTAGTGCAGCTAGTTCCATCATGAGTCATATATGTCATCTCACAGTTCACGGGGAGCACACCTGAACCTAGGGCTGTGTCTCCATATACCGTGGAATTTGCATAAGAAGAGACTTCAGCCACATGCTGTCCTGGCTCTGAAGGTATCAGGTAGCCTTCTGTCTCCTAGTAGTTTAGAGGTATTATCCCAGACTCCCCACAACTTTTTGTTATGACCAATTAAGTTACAATGGAAAATAATAGTAACAGTCATACCAAGTATAAGCATACCCCATTTTATCGTGCTTTGCAAATATTGCATCTTATACAAATTGAAGGTTTGCGGTAACCCTGTGTTAAGTCTGTTGGTGCTATTTTTCCAACAGCATTTGCTCATTTTGTGTCATATTTTGGTAATTCTTGCAGTATTTCACATGTTTTCATCATTATTATATTTGTTATGGTGATCTATGATCAACGATCTTTGATACTCTATTGTAATTGAATTGTTATTTTTTAGCAATAAAATATTTTTAAATTAAGGTAGGTACATTGGGTTTTTTAGACATAATGCTATTGCACACTTAATACAGTATAGTGTAAACATAAATTTTATATGCACTGGAAAACCAAGAAATTTGTGTGACACTTTATCGTGATATTTACTGTATTGTGGTGGTCTAGAACTGAATCCACAGTATCTCTGAGGAATGCTTGTAGTAGCTAACATTTATTCAGTGAGTATATGCCAGGCACTAACTATTCCAATACTTTCACATGTCTTAATCTATTTAAACCTCACAGCAATCCTCTGAGCTAGGTACTACTACCATCTTATTTTATAGGTCACTGAGACACAGAGAGAGTAAATCAGTTGCCCCAAGTCAGCAAGCCAGTGCTTGTTGTGAGGTTCAAATCCAGGCAGTCTGGCTGGGAGCCCATGCTCTTAACACCTACACTGTTACTTCATTTGATCCTCATGTTAACCTTGTGAGTTCTATACCACTCTGACTTATCTTTACAAAGAAAAGCTAACATATGAAAAGTCAGATTAACAAATTAGAGGGCAATTATTTACATTACAGATTTAAACATATTTCATAAAGGGGTTCCTTTAAAAATAAATGTCTCATAACATACCTAAATTTGATACAGCTTGTTAACTGCTTGAAAGAGAGTTTAAAATGCAGTGTAACTTAAGCCAAAGTATGAAAAGCCATGGCAAATTGAAAAATCAATCAGAAATGAATACTAAATTACAATATAAATCATGGTAACATAGAATTCCATTTGTAGCATTTTGATTTACATTGGACATTTTCCTGACATAATGTGGGAAACAAAGGTATTAAATGAGCACCCTGCCTGGTATCTTCTGTTTGGCTCTCACAGTGTTCAAAATATTTTTTAACTGGCTTGTCACCAATATTTAAAATTCAGGAGATTTCAAATAAAAATTCATGATTTTTGGCCTTTAGAAAGATTGCAAGATCTGGCAACCTTGGACCATATTCCTTCTTGGAAGCAATCACTGGGGCCAAGTTGGGGCTGTTCCCTTTAGATGAGGCTTGTATGCTCCGTTTCACCAGCCTCTTTCATTCTCATCTCTCATCACATTACAGACTAAGGGGGGCTGTGCTGTTGTTTTTCTTACCCCTAGCCTGTTTCATTCAGGTAGTCTGTTATCTCTTTGGTCCTTGGAGGCATTTGGATCTACATCCTCTGAATTATAGGCAGGTATGCTTTGTAGGCATTTTAAGAGCACCTCCTGAGGAATGTAAAAACGTCAGTCTTGAGTCTGCCTTGTAGATAAGTACCTTAGACCGCAAAGAAAGGATTATTTATTTTTAAAAGGTAATATAAATGTTATTTTTTTCTTAATACTTTTAGGGGTGGTAGCTTTTTTTTTTCAGTGGAGATACTGGGGATTGTACCCAGGACCTCATGCATGCTAAGCACGTGCTCTACCCCTGAGCTACACCCTCCCTCCTGACCAGGGTAGCTTTGTATAGTTGAAAAGCAGGGGACTGTAATTCCACTAAATTCAAGATAACATTTCTTGAGACCTTACCTTGGGAAAGATACCATTCTAGTTATTATGTAAAACCCATTGATGATTAATTTTACTGCCACAGGGACTCAGAATTTAGTAGTAAATACACATATATAACAGGAATACAAGACAATCTTACAAATAAGTGCTGTTGATATTGAGGGCAGAGAGCGCTTCAGTCTAATTAGAGAAATCTGGCAGTCTTAGAAGGCTTCCAGAAGTAGGTTGTTGTAAGTTAGGCATTAAAGAATGGCTAGAATTAAGGAAGGGTGTTCTTGCAGAAAGTTAGCCAATGAAGGAAGGCAGAAGGGAGAATTCTAGGTTTATTCCAGTTCCTGGGAGTACAAATATGTAAATGAGATGTAAGAGGGTAGAATGAGAGACTGGATGGGAGAGTTCAGTTGAAAAGCATATCATAACTTTGAATGGCAGTCTGGGGAATTTTAAAAATGAACTCCGAAAGTTTTCAGAGCAAGAGGATGATGTGTGATCAGTTCTAGTTTTAAGAAAAGAGCTCCCTTGAGAGAGCTGGGAAAAAGATAGACAGCAGGGAGGTCTGCTAAAACTGTTGTAATAAACCAGGTGAGAAATGCTGAAAGCCTGAAGAGGTAGGAATAGAAGATGGGCGGATGTTTAGGTTCAACATTGCTTGGATGGTAGTGATCACTCCCTTGTCTGATTGGACATAGGAGATGAGGGCAAGGACAGAGTTGACAGTCATTCCTGGGTCTCTGGCTGGTTGACTGGGAGCACTGAAGAAGCAACCAATAAGAAATGAGAAGGCGAGAGATGCTGAGCTCATTTTTGTAGTTAAGTGTGAAGGGCTAACTAGATAGCCCAGAAGCGCTGTCCAGCAAGCAAAGGGAAGTGTGCTTCTGCAGCTCAGGAGGAAGAATGTGGCTAAATACGGAGATCAGGGAGTTGTTTGCTTAGAGATGATGGCTGTGTGGGGGTTACATGAGATGCCTTGGGAGGGTGGGACCAACAGTACAGCTGTGGGCAGAATCTTGGAAAACAGCAGTAGTTAAAGGATGAGCTGAGGAAGAAGAGAGAGTGAAGAACCAGGAAGTAGTAAGTGAAAAAGGAGAAAAACCATAGAGAGCTGTGTCCCATGAGGAGAGCATTCTCTCCTGGTTCTGCCATTTATTTACTTACCTAATCTTGGGCTTAAGCTCTTGGGTCTTATTTTCCAGCGGAATAAGGAAGTTAGATTAGATAAGCTATACGGGTCTTTTCAGTGAGAAAAAATCTTAGGTAAAAATCTCAAAGCACTTCAGTGGATGTTGAATACCTGAAAATATCGTGGTTGTCTCTGAATCCCTGTGTGGCTTTGTTCCTGCCACTCATGTAACACTGAATAGAGGCTGCCATCTATTTATAGTTAATATTTGTGTGTAAACTTATTGAGCCAGGACAGATGGTGCCATTCTCATGCTTGGTTTGAAATTGTTCATTCATTCATTTGTCTAACAGATATTTGCCGAGTGCTTCTTACGTGCTATTTGCAGTGCCAGGAGCTCAAGAAGCAAGACACAGTCCCTTAGCCTCACTAGCTTCATAGGGTGACCAACAAGAAAAAAGGCAGTTACAGCTGAGGAAGTTTCCATCAGCTATACTGTGATGTGTTGTATTTGGATAACAAGGGGAAAACGAGGAATCACTTTATTTTTATACTTTTTAAAATTGAGATATAGTTAATATACAATATTATATAGGCTATAGGTGTACAACATAGTGATTTACAATTTTTAGAGTTTACTCTCTTTACAGTTATTATAAAATACTGACTCTATTCCCTGTGTTGTACAGTATATCCTTGTAGCCTATTTATTTTATACATAATAGTTTGTACCTCTAAGTCCCCTACCCCTCTTTGCCCCTTCCCTCTTCCCTCTCCCCACTGGTAACCACTAGTTTTTTCTCTAGATCTGTGAGTCTATTTCCTTTTTGCTATATTCACTAGTTTATTTTTTAGATTCCACATATAAGTAACACCATACATTATTTGTCTTTCTCTGTCTGACTTACTTCAGTTACCGTACTACCCTCCATGTCCATCCATGTTGCTGCAGATGGCAAAATTTCATTCTTTTTTATGCCTGGGTAGCATTCCATTGTATATATATTACATCTTCTTTATCCATTCATCCGTTGATGGACATTTAGGTTGCTTCCATACCTTGGCAATTGTAAATAATGCTGCTATGAACATTGGCGTGCATGTATCTTTTTGAATAGTGTTTTTGTTTGTTTGTTTGTTTTTGGATGTATACCCAGGAGTGGAATTGCTGGGTCATATGGTAGTTCTATTTTTAGTTTTTTGAGAAACCACCATACTGTTTTCCATAGTGGCTGCACCAATTTACATCCCTACTAACATTGTATGAGGGTTCCCTTTTCTCCATATCCTCACCAACATTTGTTGTTTATGGTCTTTTTGATGATAGCCATTCTGACAGGTGTGAGGTGATAGTTCATTGTGGTTTTTTAATGTGCATTTCTTTGATGATTAACCATGTTGAGCATCTTTTCATGTGCCTGTTGGCCATCTGTCCTCTTTGGGAAAATGTCTATTCAAGTCTTCTGCCCATTTTTAATCAGGTTGTTTATTTTTTTCGATACTGAGTTGTATGAGCTGTTTATATATTTTGGATATTAAGCCCTTATCGGTCATATTATTAATACATACTTTCTCCCATTCAGTAGGTTGTCTTTCTGTTTTGTTGATGGTTTCCTCTGCTGTGTAAAACCTTTTAAGTTTAATTAAGTCCTGTTTATTTATTTTTGCTTTTATTTCCTTTGCTCTAGGAGACAGATCCAAAAAATATTGCTATAATTTATGTCAAAGGGTGTTCTGCCTGTTTTCTTCTAGGAGTTTTATGGTTTCTGATCTTACATTTAGGTTTTTAATCCATTTCAGTTTATTTTTGTATATTATGTGAGAAAATGTTCTAATTTCATTCTTTTACGTGTAGCTGTCTGGTTTTCCAAGCACCACTTACAGAAGAGACTGTCTTTTCTCCATTGTATATTCTTGCCTCCTTTGTCATAGACAAATTAACCATAAGGATACAACATTAATATACAGAAATCTGTGCATTTCTATACACTAACAACAAAATATCAGAAAGAGAAATTAAGGAAACAGTTCCATTTACTGCTGCATCAAAAAGAATAAAATACCCAGGAATAAACCTACCTAAGGAGGTAAAAGACCTGTACATGGAAAACTATAAGCCACTGATGAAAGAAATTGAAGATAACACCAACAGATGGAAAGATATACTGTGTTTATGGATTGGAAGAATTAATATTGTTAAAAAGACGAAGGCCATCTGCAGATTCAGTGGAATTCCTATCAAAATACCAAGGGCATTTTTCACAGAACTAGAACAAATAATTTAAAATTTTGTATGGAAACACAAAAGGCCCCCAAATAGCCAAAACAATCTTGAGAAAGAACAGAGCTTGAGGAATCATGAATCCTGACTTTGGACTGTACTACAAAGCTACAGTAATCAAAACAGCATGGTACTGGCACAAAAAAATAGACACATAGCTCAATGGAACCGAAGAGAGAGCCCAGGAATCACTTTATTTTAAACCTTTTACTGCTATAGAAAGATTGAGATACCTCTTTTAATGTAAGAGTCACAAATTGAGGACTTTTGTAACCTTTCAGTTATTTAAGAAAAGCCTAGTAAGTTCATTGTTGAATCACAAATACCAACTTATAAAATATTTGAATCATTAATTTTCATAATAACCATTTGATGGAATGATTCATATAATTTATATAAATATATATAAACAATGTATCATAAGTACTCAAAACAGCTAAATCCTATAAAAATTCTGCTTGTATATAACTGGAAGTTTTTCAGAGGTAGGAGAATCCTTATTTTCTGGGATGTCAGAAACTTGAAAGTGACAGTAGGTAGACTCAAAGCAGAAATACCCATCTTCTCAGACGTTTCCTTAGGCTTTGAAACCTAAATAGCAAGAACTTTGCTGATAAGAATTTGTCATACTTAAATAAAGGGGAAATCACATTTCTGATTGTACATTCTTTCTTTCTAAAGAAGGACTTAAAAACTTTTCTTCCACAAAGTAATAGGAGCGCATAATTGGACACAGAGGGGACAAGGTACAGTTCACTCATTGATGCAACAAGCATTTATTGAGTCCTTACAAGGTGCTAGATACTTGCCATCCTCCAGTGGGGACCCAATTCCTGCACTGTTAGAAGGGGTTAAACGAGAGACAGTAAACACAGAACACATCAGATTGCAAGAAGAGCTGTGGAGAGACTTAAAATAGGATGATGTGGTAGAGATGCCTGGCCAGGTCCTTCAGGGTGGATGATCCGGGAAGGCCTGTCTGAGGAGGTGACAGTAAGATGAGACCTGAATAACAAGAAGGAGGCAGCTGTGCCAAGACCTGGGAAAAGGAGAGACTTCCAGACAGAAGGAACAACTCAGCAATGGCAAGCTAAATCTTCATTTATTTACTGTAATATTGTGCCACGGACAAATCCTGTTCTTTATTCAGGTCTGTGGCTAGATGTATTAAATGTAATCTTATGGCTGATATTCCCAGAGAAGGAGCTCACAGGCTAGGAGTGAGTTAGAATGAGGGGCTAGGATGAGGCAAGTGAGACGCTTGAAGCACAAAGTTGGAGGGGTCACTCGGAGAGTAAGAGCCTCTTCGTGCCTCACCCTAGTCACAGCCCTAGGAGGAGGGAGAGGTAGTGAAGTTGCCAAAGAACCTGGTGCCTTGAAGGGCCAACAGGTTTGGATATGGAGGGGCAGATAAAATAGAAAAAAATAAAACAGCCTGAAGGCTCACCCTCAAGGGGAGGACTCCAGCCCCAGAACACAGACCTCACACGGCAGCCCGCTGCCTTTGGGCACCTGTCACAGCTTCTTAAGATCACAGACTACAGTTTCCCCAATGAACTGGTTTGTTTCTCTTACTTCTTGTGTCCTTAACTTGACCAGCAGTGTGAAAGAGGCAAGCAAGGTAATCTGCACAGCACCTGTGGCAGCAGATCCTGGTTACAGGGATAGCGGCTGAGACCCGAAGGAACCTACACCAGTTACTTAGGATGGCTTCATGTCGGAGGGACTCTGCTGCTCCCAGCTGTTACACTTGGTGTAGAGTGAAGGGTGTCTGTGCTGGGAAATTCCCAGAAGGGTAGTGGTCTGAGTTCCTCTCTAGCATCCTGCAAAGGGTAACCTGAAAGACAATGGCAGGAGCAGATAATCTGCGTCTGATGGGAGTGGATTCCAAGGTTCAGTGCTGCGGTAGTGTGTGCTGGAATCAAAATGTCACAACTACTCTATTTTTGTTTGCTAAATTGTAAAGCATTGATTGTCATCTTAAGGTATCCCTTTTGTTTTTTATCCTAATAAAAATGTGCTTTTTTCTTTTTAATAGAATATGGATTGTGTTCAATTCCATTTGAAAATAAGCTCTATCTAGTTGGTGGACAAACTACCATCACAGAATGCTATGACCCTGAACAAAACGAATGGAGAGAGATTGCTCCTATGATGGAGAGGAGGATGGAGTGTGGTGCTGTCATCATGAATGGATGTATTTATGTCACTGGGGGCTACTCCTACTCAAAGGGAACATATCTTCAGAGCATTGAGAAATATGATCCAGATCTTAACAAATGGGAAATAGTGGGTAATCTTCCAAGTGCTATGCGGTCCCACGGGTGCGTTTGTGTGTATAATGTCTGATTAAATCCACAGAAATGACCAAGTAATCACTGTTTCAGGGTGTAGTAAGCAAGAATGGAGTCCCTTGTTATGTGGACTGACACATAATAGGTAAATTCTTATTCCTAACCCCAACTACACCCCTACCCAGTGATTAATGGTCAAGAAAAATCTTATGTATGTTTAGAGTTGAATCAGTGGGGTTGACACATAATCACTCCTTATCAATGGTGATTTGGTAAAAGGTGAAATGTCTTTGTAGTCAATTTTTTCTTCTGGTAGCATCAACACTGGGTATAGATCAGAATCATTCTGTGGAATGAAATGTCTCTTATGGCCCTATAGTGTAACAGACAGTGTACATTAAGGTTCTGTTTAGCAAGGAATTTGAAATGTAAGGAGGGAATCTTCTCTACCTCTACAAAATCAACACCTAAATTTTTTTCCACCTTTAGAATTATTTAGAATGTGGACTTAAGTCTAGTTTTTTTCCTTTGTACTATGCATAATTTATTGTTATTATTCTTTATTTGCTGACTGCCAGAGATATACAAAATACTGTGCAAAAGATTATTACTATTCAGAGTTTACAAACTAAAAGAATGGCACATCTGAAGAATTGCAGAGAAAATTGTTGAACATTTGCTGTACCTAAGAGCTATTTTTAATTTTCAACTTTGATGTAAATTGGTAGTTTAGATGTCTTTAGTTTAAGCATGTTAGAAAATCCTCTTTATTCGTAAGTATAGATACATGTCTGCATATGAAATTGAATATTAGAGCCAGAAAGCATGTAGAACAGTTGTGATATAGTAGAAAATATGTTGATGAGAAGAAATTTGAATTCATTTCTCAGCTCTGCCACTAACTAGATTTTGTGACTTGGATTGAATCACTTAACCTCTCCTCAATTAGAGCTCCCCTACCCGTGCACACTGGCATTTTGGGTCGGAGATGTGCCTAGATAAGGACCCTGCAACCCTTGGGGTAGCCAGAAGTGGCCTGGGTAGCTGGAGATTCTGGGCCAGAAACATCTTTGTCCATTTTCTCCAGTGTGCCTGCCGTATCACTTTCCACATGTGCCGTAACTTGAGAAAAGTTGGGAAGCATTGGTTAACTCATCTGAATTTTTAGTAATCTGTTAGATGCTCTACCCACACTCTTCATTTTTTTAAAGAGACAATAATTATTTTAACTTTAAATATTTTAAGTTTAAAACTTAACTAAAGCTTCTGGTTGTTTTTTTTTTTAATTTTTTAAAGAACCTGTTTAATGCATTCATTTCAGAAGAGGTTTTTAAAAAATTGAACCCTTTGGGAATACAATATGGTACTGCATAGAAAAAGCCGTAAAAATGACCATATCTTTGCCCCATAAATTTTACTCCTCAATTTGTAACTTAAAGAATAATATAAAAACAAAACAAACAAAAGGTAAATGCATGAGGTTATGTCTGCATTATTTGTAATAGCGGAAAACTGGAAATAATGTACATGTCAAAGAAGAAAGTGGACTAATAAAAACAGTGAAGTATTATACTGCCATTAAAATAATTATTTGGAGGACTGTGTAGAAACATGGACATGTCTGTATTATGGTCAGTAAAACAAGCACAATTCAAAATGGTGTGCACGCTATGATTGTGACTTTGTAAACTATGCATGTGGAAGGTACTATGCAGAACTGAAATTCATTGTGTTAGTATGGGGGGATGTGGAATGATTTTTAATTTATTTAAATGTTTTCCTTTAGTATTACTTTGTAGTTTCAATAAAAATAATAAATCACTGCATATGTGGTAAAACTGCTGGAGTTTGGACCAATTGAGTTGAAGGACAATCTGCATTAGTGAAACAACTGAATTATAGACTATTTCCATTTATAATTGAATTATGGACTATTTCATTGCTCTCAAGAACATTTGCATTTAATGCTGAACCAATGATATGTTGTCCAGTAGTGCTTTAGAAATCTGTTTTACGACTAGATGAGAACAGTTGCGATCACCTTTCCCTCCTTTTGGCTTATCTAAGTCCTATAAAGTCCTGACTCAAATCCAGCCTCTGGTATTTCTTTCCTGACAGTTTCAGCCACAGTAAAACTCCCATTGTCACATTTAAAGAATTTATCATTTATATAGACATAGTATGTCTCTTGGCTAATTTCGAGATCATGGATCACTTCTTGGTATTCTCAGGGCCTACCATGTCATTTTGTATATCCTGAGTCCTTTTTTTTGACGGATGGTATCAATTATTTTGATAGAAAATCATTCCAAGGATGCTTGAAGGATCCTAAAAATAGTTTGTGATCTGAGACATTTAATTTTCAGCTCCTATTTTCTGTGAAATTCTTTTTTGCTATTAGTATACAGATGCAAGAAAGGATTAAGGAAGGTAAACATTTCTGTCAGAATTATTCCGAGTTCCACTGTTCTATGAAAGAAAAATATTTTACTATAATTAAATGCAAGACATTGCTTTGAGAGGGCAAACAGTGTTTTACAAAATAATTAAAATTATGCAGATGATTTTGAGTATGACTTAATTAAGGGGACTTTTAACTATCCAAATGTTAAAAGTTGCTGTTTTTCACAAGTCTTGTTTTTAGTTTTTAGCTGCAACTGAAATAGGACCAACATCCAGGGTACTTGTTTAAAGGCACATTAGCCTTTATCTTTACCTTCATGGAAAATTTTTTCGGTTTCTTAATCTGTAAATTCCCCATCCATCTCTTCATTTTTTAACCCCTTGCAGTTTATTTGTGAAGAAGCTAGATCATTTATCCTGTTTTCCCAAAGGCGAGATTATACTGATTATGTTCCTATGGTGTAGTTAAGCATATGAGTATCTCTGTCCTCTGTGTTTCCTATAAGTTGATAGTTAGATCCAGAAGCTTAATCAGATCGGGTTGGTTTTTTGGGGGTTTTTTTTGGTCACAATTCACAGGTGGTACTGTGTTCGTTTGTCAAAAGACACATAATTGTCTCTTTCTGATGTTAGCAGCCATAAATGCTCAATATTCAGATCCTGAATTCATTAGGGATTGCAAAATGGTGATTTCCCGTGCTGTATATTCTTGGTGTATTTGTTGAAATGCTTCTATAAGGAGAAGTCTTCCTTCACTTACTAGTTGTCCACCTAGAGGTGTAGTTTGTATAGGAAAGGCAGAGGAATGCTTGATTCCCAACTTTGTGTCCCAGTTTGCCAAACAGTTGTTAGTATCCTTCAAAGGTGATTTATTGTTTTTTTTTTTAAGTCATTATGAACTCATGTATTTAAATGTACTCAGCGTCTTTCAGTCCATTGCAGTTACTCTTCTTGATGCTCAGTTCATTCCATCTTGAGCCAGTGGAAGGTTCTGCAGACTGTTTCCCAGTTCCTTTTGGCACAGCCCCAGTGGGTTTGGTAGCTTCTTTGCTCTCTGGTCTGACTAGATACTCCTGGCTCATCTTGTGCATTTCCTGCTTCAGACCTGGACTCAGCCATTGCTCCAGGCAGCCCTGGTTCCTTTTAGTGAAAAATGGTATTTCAAGACTGTAATGTGGGCACTAGGGATGCTTCTTGCTACTAGACTTTCATTGTTTTTAGCCTAAAATTCAAATACATAGTAATAAAAATACAAAAGGCAGGAGAGGGATCATTAGACTTAAATTTTTCTAAGATCCTCTCATTGTCAGGAAGCCATTAAAAAAAACCCAAAAAAACACTTAACCTCTTCTATCCCAATATCTGTAGCCCCCCCTTTTCCCACAGAAAATATTCTGGTTCTCAAAGTCACCTGGGATAATAGAATCAGAGAATCACATTACAGCTCACACACATTGCTTTGAGAGGGCAAACACTGTTTTACAAAATAATTGCAGCTTGCGCACACACACACATACACACACGTCACTCTCAGAATAACAACACCAACAAGCAATTTAGGCATGAATTTTCAATAAATTTGGACTGCTACAAAATTTCAAACAGAAAGCAGATGAGAAGGTGAGATTGAAACTCACCTGAGGCTAACTACCACCTGAGACTTGGGGTTTTAGTCAGATAGAATGGTAAGGAATCTCAGGCAGGAACTCTAAACATACATAAAAAGTAGGAAGATTTTAGAATGTTTTGTTCTTCATGATTTTTGAAAGTCATTGAAACATAATCTTGGTTAGAGCTTCCTTCTGCTCTTCCATCCTCCAGTTCCTAGCACAAGACATTTATTCTTGGAGGCTCAGCCAAGAGCTTATAGGAGGACCCTTCCAGATAACATTTTCCCCCTGTTGACGTGTTAGGAGATCCAGTGAACACAAAAGACACATAAAATTATTTTCCAGTGTTGTTAAGTAGACATTGGTTTAACAATGCTTCTATTATCTTTTTTACCTCTGCTTTTAAAAGAAGTTAGGGAGGCAAGGTGATGGAGTCCATAACTTTGTCTCTTGAACAAGAAGAAACTTCTTAAGAAGGGGTTTATGACAGGAATTGTACATGGGGGTTCAGAAGTCCCATGCGTCCAAGCATTTCCTCAGCCTCACCAAAATCACAGCACATTCCTGGTTTAGGAAACTGTTATAAAGTTTAAACCAAAATTGTGCCAGTATAAATTATCATTATTTCCTTGGCTGGGCACAACTTCAGTTTTCCAGTGCATTTGTGTTCCCTATTTGAGTTTTTCATCTGCATACCTGTAATATTTTGAAAAGTAGTTCTAACTGGGCATCTTTCCATAGTGACTTCCGCCTTCTGTGAACCTGTGTTTTTATTCCATAAGTTATAAATAAAGATGTTCTTGGCCATTGCAGTGGATGAGCTGAAGCTTTGAAATCTTTTTTCAATGAGGAAACTCAAAGTTTTATGAGAAAACAACTGCAAAAAGTTAACAAAACTTCTGTGGGAGTAGCACAGCATCCTGTCTCATAAATCTAGGATCAGAAACATTCTCATCAGGCTCCTTCCCTTTTCTTTCCCCTTCCCTGTCTGCAAAAATCAAACATTTAGAAGAATTGAAGGTGGGGGAAAAGAGTCACCTACCCAGTTTTCCATAGTCCTAGTCTCACCTCGTTAGAGCAACTTTAGTTCTGGTCTTGGAGAAGAGTTTGCACTCAGTTCTATTTGAAAAATGCCTTACCTTGTACTTACCAGATTTTGCTGATGAGCAGATAAATCCCTGCTGACAACAGCAACAATTTAGTCTACAAGACACTGATCATGTCACTCCTCTGTTCAGATCCCTGTGATGACTCGCCAATTTATTTAGAGATAAAACCAAAGTCCTTCCTGTAGTATACGTGCATGCCTTCACAGACGGACACGAAGATGGATAGCCACATGCTCATGTGAAAGCTCAGAGTCTTGTTACAAACAGGAAGTTGGTGTTAATGTATACTGGGACCAGTAACAGTCTGCCAGATATTAAAATGCTATAAAGCTACGATAATTAAAATTCTGGTGTGTTATATTTCAAAATAAAGAAGGTTAAGAAATAGACTCACAGACATAGAAAAACTATGGTTACCAAAGGGGAAAGGGTAGGGGAGTGATAAATTAGGAGTTTGGGATTAACAGATACACACTATTATATATAAAATAGATAAACAACAGGGTCCTATTCATTATCTTGTAATAACCTATAATGGAAAAGAATATATATGTGTGTGTATATCTATGTATGTATGACTGAGTCACTTTGCTGTATGCCTGAAATTAACACACTATAAGTCAACTATAGTTCAATATAAATAAATAAATAAATAAATAAATAAATAAATAAATAAATAAATAAATAAATATTTTAAAAAAGAAGGAAGGTTAAAAACCCCTGAGGTACTGAGACATGAATAGACAAACAGATAATTGAAAAAGCTTTGTCTTATATTTTCAAGTCTCTGGGGCTATATTCATGTTCAACTGGAGGGAGTTTAAATTGGTAGATTTCTAAGGGCAACCAAGAGAAATAAAAGTTTTTGAAAAATCAAAATTACAACTGAAAAATCCTTTTGAACAGAAGAGTTCTTTGTTAGCATGGGAACACTTCTGCTTTTCTGATGTGTGCTTCCACGCGGAAGTAGCTCCACTAGTTTAACGCCCCCACTTGGCTTCTCCCCAGAGGAGGGATGACTTTTCCTTTTTTCTTTGCCCACGTTTTGCTTCCAGTTTTATTGAGATACAATTGACATGCAGCGCTCTAAAGTGTATGGCATAATAATTTGACTTACATATTTCATGAAATGATTATCACAGTAAGTTTAATGAGCATCCATTATCCCAGATAGACACAAAATTAAAGAAATAGAACAATTTTTTCTTTGTGATGAGAACTTTAAGGATTTACTCTCTTAACAACTTTCATATATAACTTACAGCAGTGTTAATTATATTAATCATGTTGTACATTGCATCCCTAGTAACTGTTTATCTTATAACTGGAAGTTTGTACCTTTGGCCACCTTCATCCAATTCCTCCTTCCCCTACCCATCGACCTCTGTTAACCACAAATTTGATCTCTTTTTCTGAGTTTGTTTGTTTTGAAGTATAATTGACCTACAACACTGTGTTCCTGTTACAAAACATAATGATACCATATTTCTATACATTTCAAAATTTCTGTACCTTTCTCCGTGATAAGTCTAGTTATGTCACCATGCAAAGATATTGTGTAATTATTGACTATGTTCCTAACATTGAACATTTAATTCCTGTGATTCATTTATTTTGCAACTGGAAGTTTGTACCTCTCAATCTCCCTCACCGATTACTTTCTTCCCCTCACCCACCTTTCTTCTGGTAATCACCTGTTCTCTGAATCTATAACTC